ATACCAGTTCTCCAAACTACTCAAAATTTCCACTCCCTGTTCTCCAGAACTGGCCAGAACCTGCTGAATACCACCTCTGCTTAGCCACTATCATTGAGCTGAAATTTCGATTGTAAGCTATGATAGTCAGCGCTGAGCTTGCAATGACGCCCAGTTTTACAAACATTTTTTGCAGCAGTCGTTAAGCAAACACTGTGGTCATGAAGGGAACGCTGAAATTTTTTAAAGGGTATACATTGTTCACTTTTAGCCAGATGTAAATGCCAGTTTCCAAGGAAATGTTGTAGTTTGTGGTCATTTGACCATGAGGTGCCACAAACTTGTAAATGTGGGCCTGTTGCCGAGCACCCAGAACACAGTCACGTGACTGATGGAGAGGCTAACATGAGAACTTAGAATCTGGCTCATGTCCCATTTTCAGGGTCTGTTGTAACTTACAACAGTCGTTAAGTGACTGTGAGTTGAGGACTACCTGTATCCTTGTTAACACTCTGATTTCTTGCTTTCCAATCTTTGCTATAGTTTTAGGTACTTTCTGAGATGGTTCATGTACAATGAGATAAATCAGTATGGTTCTATCTAGGCATCTTGTTGTGCTTTATTTGGAAAACAAATTGGTACATTATGCATTTTCAGACTTTAGATTGTGCTAAGGCATAATTTGATTTAGTAGTTTCTGATTTAATGAGTTGTGCGAACTCAGTCACAATGCCAAGATGTGCATCCAGCAGTAACCTTGTGCTATTGTGACCCTTTACAGGAAAGAGCTGTTGAATCTCGACAAACTGGAAGCACAACTTAAAGCTTGTAACTGCCGACTTGTTTTTTCAAAAGCGAAAGTAAGTTTGAAATAAAAACCGCTCACAATATAAAAGCTGAGGATCGGGGACTGACTTTCTAAGCCGAACGTGTATTTTTGTCCCTTTAGCCATCCATTTTGGCCCTGTGCCTTCTCTCTCTGGAAGTGCAGACGCTGAAATCCATCGAGTTGTTTGAGATTCTTCTGTGTGTTCAGAAGCAGTCCAAGGTAAGAGAGAGCAGAACTCATTAACCCTTCCTCCAGCCATCCTGTGTACACCTTTGGGGGAGAAAAAATAATAGAGTTGATTCGGAAATAAATGTTTATTTTTTAAACTCTAGAGAGGAAAACGCCCCTCCTATTTTGAAGGTAGATTATTTGGGGAGAAATTGTATCTTCCTGGAGCATAAATAATTCCTGACTTATTCATAGAAGATAGACTTTTCCCCATTCACCTTGGGAAAATGCATGTTCCTGCAGCACTCTGCTCGCCGAAAATGGGCTGCATGGAGGCCCTGTGTGGCCCATTTTCGGTTGGCTGAGGGCTGCAGGAGGACTGGAGTAGACTGGATTACAATTATGTGGCCTCACGTAAGTGCCTGATCTGGATAGAAAACAAGCAACATCCTATGATAATACTACAGTTTTAATACCAGATTTTTACANTGCCCCCAACAATCTGGGTCCTCATTTGTCAGCATTTGTGCTGATAAATAAATTATCAGCACAAATGTAACAAGGCAACATAAAAAAATGGCTTTCTGCCTGGATGGCTCCTAGAGTGAGCTGATAGATAGAAATATAAATGGCTGTATGTGTGTGTGTTCCAGCAGAACTCTTGACTGCCTCGAGCAATTTCAATCAAATTTGGTACACAGAAGATTTATTCTCTGGAAAAAAATACTGTGGGGGTAAGACACCCCTAACACCCCTCAGGGTGTGTGTTCTGTTAAGATAAAGTCTGTTGTGCCTTAAAATGGATTCTACTGTACAGCGCAGTGGAGTTTCCATGGTATCGACTTCACAGTACTCCACAAGGGGGCTCCCTCTGGTAAGGTGGAAAATCCAACATTAGAAATTACATTTGGTCCAGACATTTTCCCCCTATAAATAAATACCCAGACAACGCCGGATTATCAGCTAGTATGTTAAATTATTTGGGTGCAGTGATATTTATTCAGTATTGCCCCAAGTTTATTCATCCTCTAATGTTTTAGAGAACTTAAACCTTTAAAAAGAAAAAAATATATTATGTCAACCTTAACTATTTTTCTAAGATGTTAATGTTGATAAGCATAAGATTGCTTAAATGTTACATCTAGAGGAGAGTGCAGCATTGATTAACAACTGCAAAATGTATTAAATTATTTGTTATATAATAGACATTTCTGTCTTAAGCTTCTTAATATTAAATTCTTCATTGTTTAGTTGTTTGTATGAATAGGTAGTCCTTGTCTTACAACCACATGAGCCATTGCTCTGTTAAAAGAGTTTTGCCTTGTTTTACGATCTTCCTTGCCATAGTTGTTAAGAGAATCTGGCTTCCCCATTGACTTTGCCTGTCAGAAGGTAGCGAAAGGGGAATCACATAACTCGAGGACACTGCAACTGTTATAAATATGAGTCACTTGCCAAACTCCTGATTTTGATCACATGACCATGGGGATGCTACAACAGCAGTGTGAAAAACCATCGTAAATCACTTTTTTCAGTGCCATTTCAAATAGCCACTAAGCGAAAGGTTTTAAGATGAGGACTACTTGAGTTGGGAAAAAAATGAAAACAGGCATTAAACGAAAATGCTCTCAGAATATTATTTTCTTTTTTTTTTAATTCCAACTTTTTGCAGTTAAAAGGCAAAAGGCCATGAGCAAAGATGGTTTCCAGATGTATCTGCTTTCCGCGGATGGGAATATTTTCAATAAAGCTCACGGCCAAGTGTATCAGGATATGACCCAACCCCTCAGCCATTATTACATATCTTCTTCGCATAATACCTACCTCATGGAGGACCAGCTAAAAGGACCCAGCAGTACTGAAGCCTATATCAGGTACCAAACATTATTTAATAGATTTATTGCTTGCCCTTCTTGCATGCCTTTCATCCATCAACTTAACACACCGGACGTAGAACTCTAATCTCTGATATTAGCAATAGCAATAGCAGTTAGACTTATATACCGCTTCATAGGGCTTTCAGCCCTCTCTAAGCAGTTTACAGAGTCAGCATATCGCCCCCAANAGAGAAAGAGAGAGATGATAGATAGATAGATAGATAGATAGATAGATAGATAGATAGATAGATAGATAGATAGATAGATATGGATGGATGGATAGATAGATAAAGACCTCTCCCATCCCTGTGATTTTATGTGGTTATTGCATATATATCTAACCATCTAACAATAAACCAGTTTTTTTACCTGCCTCTGATGACAAATGTTGGGTTTGCTCCTACAGTCTCCATTGAAGAAATCCAAGATGTCAGACCGGGCCATAAGACCGAAGGGATGGAAAAATATGCTAAGGATGTCCCTGAAGTCCGTTGCTTCTCTATCATTTTCAAAGACCAGAAGAAAAACTTGGACCTCATTGCTGGTTCTGAAACGGATGCAAATCACTGGGTATTCGGCTTGGGAAAAATCATTGCCAAAAGCAATTCAATGAGCCAGAGGCAGAAATTACAACAGTATCCTTTTTTTAAAAAGTCTGTACAATTGAGAAGAATTTACGGGGAGGAATGAGCTATATTGTATTTTATGCTTTGTGCCAACTTTCCTCGAAAGATTATGGGACTGTCTTTCTGTAGCTAAATTCTCTATAGCCCCAGGGGAATCAGTCTTTTTCAATCTTGGCAACTTTAAGACATGTGGACTTCAACTCCCAGAATTCCCTAGCTTGAAGGGTCCTTGCAAAGAATTCTGGGAGTTGAAGACCACACATTTTAAAATGGCCAGTTTGATAAACGCTGCTTTATGACCAGCCTTTCTCAATAGTGGCAACTTAGATGGAAGGACTTCAACTCCCAGAATTCTCAGCAAGGGCCATTCTGCCTGCAGGATTCTGGCTCTTACTCTACCATAGGAGTGTCAAACTCAATTTCATTGAGGGCCGCATCAATGAGCTGAGGTGGGCGTGGCCAGGGGGCATGGCCAGCTTGACGTCACTCATGTCAGGGCAGTGGTGAAATTTTTACTACCAATTCTGTGGGCGTGGCTTGGTGGGCATGGTAGGGAAAGGATACAGCAAAATCCCCATTCCCATCCCATTCCTGGGGGAAGGATATTGCAAAATCTCCATTCCCTCCCCACTCTGGGGCCAACCAGAAGGGGTATTTGCCGGTTCTCCGAACTACTCAAAATTTCCACTACCGGTTCTCCAGAACCTGTCAGAACTGGCTGAATTTCACTGCTGTGTCAGGGGCACCTGTGGTTTTCACTAGCAGAGGCACAATGGGCTGGTCCTTCACTACTTAAAAGAGCCGAGGTGGCGCAGTGGTTAAATGCAGCACTGCAGGCTACTTCAGCTGACTGCAGTT